CGGTACAAAATAATATTTCATGCTGTAACAAAAAAATTAGTTTAATAAAGTCTCACTAGTGTCACTGCTTGCTAATTTGATTTACCCAATCACAGCTTCCTGAGCTATCTGATGCTATACGATGAGGAAGAGATTCCACCCCCGGTCACAAGATCTGCACAAAAATCATCACCCTCCTGGTGCCACCAGCAAAACTTCAATTGTTAAATGTCTTCAACCGTATATGGAACAATCGCACCATTCCTTCCACCATAAACAAAACTGTCATTCTCCCTATTTGCAAATTCAGCAAAGATCCTTCTGTGATATCTAATTATAGCCTAATTGATTTGACCTCCCACATCAGCAAAATAATGGAACACATGATATTACACAGATGGATGAAATTAGCCCACAATAATTTCTGGTTTAACTCTAAATATGTGGGAGGCCCCCCAACAAAGGGTGCAGAGAAATCCTTACCCACATGCTCATTCATATCCATAATCTCCACAATTACAGGTGCGTCATTAACATCATTACCATCGATATCCACAAGGCTTATGACTCTGTTAATCACAACATCCTCATTCGCAAGGCTATCAGTCTTGGCAAGTGACAATTCTCTTACTTGCCTGCATAACTTTTTATCAAATAGGCAATTCCAAGTGAGATGGAGATGTGTCCTCTCCCAACCTGTGAATCTCACTAGAGGCATTCCCCAAGGCAGCGTCATCTCCCCTTTCTTATTTGCCATATTTATGCATGATATTTTTAACCTGGAGTCTGACATATTCACATCCATGTCTACGCTGATGATGTCACCATCATCATTCAGGATTACTCCCAGGAATATCTTCACCAACTTGCTAATTATGTAATGCCTTCCTTATGAACATTACTCGCTGGATCCATCAAAATAACGTTTCCATCCAACCTCAAAAGTTTACCATCATGCCGATTCCCAATCAGAAAAACGTCTCGCAGATCTTTCACCTTGATGGACATCCTATCCCTTGCGTCACCAAGGCAAAGCTGTTGGATGTCTTGATAACCAGCAACCTCTCCTGGAATGAACACATCAACTACATTGCTACAAAGAGCAAAAGGCTCCTAAACATCTTCAAAATTTTTAGCTCCAAAAAAAGTGGTGGCAGCACATCCGACCTCATCACCATCGCCGAAAGCACTATTGGCAGCCTTGCCTATTATGTAATTCCTGGCATCATCCACCTGACAAAGCATCAAATCAAAACTCTACAAACCATTCAGAACCAATATCTCAAGCTATGTCTTGGTCTTCCCTATTCTTCCAATAACATCATTACCCTCTGCATTGCCAATAAACCCAATATCATTACCAGTTTCATCATTGCATCATCGATCAGTTCAGCACATACTCCAAGAAAAGCAACATCAACTTGCTCTTTGGTGAGATTTTATACTACATTCATTCTGAAGCAGGCATCAATCTCATAAAAATCCCTCTAATTCAAACAGCTCATGCCTGGATTCATCATCATAATATTACCCATTGTAGCTTGCATTCAGTCCAACATTTGCTCTTACTATCAAGAAACCTCTCATCTGTACGACCGGTCTACCCTTTCTTCCCCCTGCGGTCATCCAGGTCATCTTCAATAATTGGATCCGTCAACAGACTTGTGATGTGCTTATAGCTACTGATGGCTCCAAGAAAAAGGAGTCTGTCTCTGCCTACATTGACTTGACGAATAACATCTCTGCTCATTACTCCCTGCATCCTGAGGTGAGCATCTTCATGGCCGAGGGCTACACTATCCTTCAAGCTAAGTCTCAAGCGGTTGAGCTTAATAAACCGACCATCATCTGTACAGATTCCAAGTCTATCTTGGAAAGCATGATCTCTCCTAGCAGTCTCCCTACCATCATTACCAACATCCTTGCCGCACTATCCTCCAATCACATTCCAATCATATCCTACATATGGACTCCTGCCATGTAGGTATCTCCATTGACGAGGATGCTGATAAACTCACCAAGAGCATTCCCAACTCCATCATTAAAACAAATGTCATCTCCCAGAAGACTTCCGCTCCATTAGCAAACATGAAACTAAGGAAAAAATGAATCAGCTCTGGATATCGTATCCCAAAAGGGAAGTCTATCCCAGGCTGGATAATACATCCGACCCTAGTTATGAAGATCTGGACAGATATACCTCTATCCTCATCAATCGGGCCCGCACCAATTATCTCCTCACCAGCCACTTCCTCATAAACAGAACCTTGCCAGCCAGGACAACTGCCCCCTCCTATCCCTCCACTAAACTGATACCTCCCTGCACAGATTGGATGAGTGTCATCTTCCAGGGAATCAGAAATCGTCTTCTGTCAACTTTGAACTCTCAAGACTGTCATCAATAAGATTAGCAATTGCTTTATGCATATTAAAATCCTTCTTCAATTAATATTCAAAACACTATCGCTACTAGGAAGCGTCACTGTCTCATCTATCATCTTATCTACAGAGTCAACCAGCCTACCATTTCTGTCATTATTTTCACCTCAGTCTTTCATCACCAGAGAGTGCCACCACCCAACCATAACCTGTAACCCAATCACAACATACACATGGTGTATGTCAGTTGACGTCAACAACATACAAATAGTTGAATGTCCAAATGTTATGACTCAGTGGTCCTCTTTCACACATGTCACACGTTTCGGTCGTCTACACGTTCTCACTAGGACCTTGACAACATTTTTCACGCCACATGGTCCAAACAATTCAACTCTGTCAAACAAAAATAATGGACAGGTAATGTTTAAATCAATGATTTAAACTTTTGTCATCAATAATATCAAAATATCCGTTAAGTCAGAGTCGAATTTTTACACAAAATAGTTTTGAAATTGTACAAGTATAAATAATGTAAATACTTTTATATTATTTTCTACCACTATAATTTAATTCTTAATTATGAACATATTTTATTATATAATATTTAAAAAAACAACTTTTAATGCTGTATTTAACAAAAAAACTATAGAAACTATTTTCATAAAATCTTTTTATGAAATATTTAATTTTAAAGTATTCATATTCATTCAAAAATTCATATTCATGAATATGAATACTTTGATATATTTCAAATTCATATTCATGAATATGAATTTGAAATAAGCACAAAAATTGAGTATGATGGTATATTAATATCAAAAGTAACCAACCATAGAAATAGTACATTTTGAAGGAAAATAGTACATTTTTTGAAGGAGCTTCAGTACGTTTTGAAATTTTATTGTGGCAATGCTGCAGCACTGCTTTGCAATTGTTGCAAACATTCACACTGATTCAGACATTCAGGTAATGACCTTGACTATTACGTTGTATGGGCTATTCTATTTTGTGGACATACCCTACTCACTCTAGTAAATAATTACAGTTTGTTTGTTTTTTCCTCAGTAGCTCAATAAACGTAACTTTTAATATTTATGTAAAAATGTGGATTGTCCCCAGGGTTGGAGGCGCGGTTCATTGCCTAAAAACCAGTGACAGTTGAAACAATAGAGCAAGCATGGAGTAAAAGAAAAAACATCTGCAACACTAAAAAACAGAAGCTTTTAGATCTGGCAACACTGAAACAAGTTTCGAAAAGGACCACATGTGAACAATGGAAATGAAAAGGCAGGAAAAGAATATCATGGAACCGACAAAAAGAAGGAAATATGAAGCAAGCTTCAAGTTAAAAGTCATAAAACAAGCTAAAGAATCAAACAACTGTGCTGCAGCAAGGGCTTTTGATATAACAGAGAAGATTGTAAGAGATTGGAGAAAGAATGAAGATGCTATTAAAAAAATGCCAATGAAAAAATGTTCTATGAGGAGAGGACTAGCTTACTGGCCAGATTTAGAAAATAACGTTGCAGAATGGGTACAAGAACAGAGGCAGAATTGTTATGTTGTTACAAGAAACATGATTAGGACTTATGCATTGAAGTGGGCACAGGCCAATCCAGAAAGAGAGAAAGAATTTAAAGCAACAGCAGGTTGGTGCGATCGTTTCATGAACAGAAAAAATCTGGTAATACAACAGAAAATAAACATTGCGCAGAAATTACCTCAAGATCTTGACAATAAAGTCATGAGTTTTCACAAGTTTGTTATTGTTATGAGGCAAAAATACAACTTTCCATTAACTAATATTGGAAATATGGATGAAACACTGATAAACGTCGACATGATAAACAATAGAAGTGTAGAAATAAAAGGCGTAAAAACTGTTCAAGTCAGAAGTTCAGGCCATGAAAAGACTAGGTTTACAGTAGTATTAACATGCATGGCAGATGGAACAAAGTTAAAACCCATGGTCATTTTCAAGAGGAAAACTACTACTAAAATAAAATTTCCACCAGGCATTTTCATACGTTTTCATGAAAAGGGGTGGATGGATGAAAAGGGTGTAAAATTGTGGATGGAAAATGTGTGGCAAAGGCAACCAGGTGCTCTACAAAATCATCACAGTTTGTTGGTGTGGGATATGTTTGGCAGTCATGTTACTGAGAACACTAAGAATTGCTTAGCACAGAACAATACTAAGATGTGCTTTTATACCGGGTGGTTTAACTTCAATGCTATAACCTTTAGATATCTCTCTGATTAAACCATTCAAAGATCATATGCGTGAACAATGGAATAACTGGATGATGATTGATGAAAAGTCGTATACGAAAGGTGGAGCTTTGCGGGCTGCATCACTTGATGTGCTGTGTGATTTCGTGATCAAATCATGGGAAAAAGTGAAAGTGGAAACAGTGATCAAATCCTTCAAAAAGTGTGGAATTTCTAATGCCATGGATGGCACTGAGGATGATTTGTTATGGGATACTGATGACGAAGCAGAAATTGACTCACTAGGTACAGAATTGGACCCATATGACGAGCTTCTCAACAATGAAAGTGAGGATGTACTTGAGGAGCTATTTGCCTTAGATGATAAATGTGAGGATTTTGCAGGATTTTAAATACATTGGTGAGTGATTTGTTTTATTTTATAATGGTTTTAATTTATATAAATTTCAATTTATTTTTTTTTTTTAATCTGTCCTATAAGACGACCCCAGATTTTGGGGGTCTTTTTTTATGATTCAACTATTGTCTTATCTGCACAGATATACAGTAACTACTAGACCCCAAATAAAAGTTAACGTAGAAACTAGTGCCACCATCACGGACTAAGGCAAAATGTGCATATGCTATGGACAATGTTGCGTGCTGTCTTATAGTATCTATTTCTGGTATAATAGTTATTTATTTAGACTCGTGTGTGCAGAATTATCACAGGAGCATAACAGGAATGCCACTGAGTTGCTGTGCAGTTAATTGTAGAGCAAGATATAAAAAAGAATCTGGTATTACATTTCATCGGTAAGTTAGATATAGAAAGTTGCTCTGATGCTATATTGTTAGTTTTCAATCAAAATCTTGTAATTCCTTTTGAAGAAATTTTTCAGGAGAAACATTAAACTTCCTTCAGAAGTCCATTAATACCCTATGTCAATGTTTCTCAAACTTTTTTGTCTGGTGGCGCACTGAAATTATTAAACAAAATTCACGGCACCCCTATTATTATTATTTTTTCTTTTTCTTTCTTTTTTTTGCTTTTTTATTGTTAGTAAAGATATGAAGGATGAGAAGTCTTTGAAAAAAATAAAAGTTTTTTAAAGTAAGTAAGTTTATTTCCAAACAACACAAAAACATTCAAAACAAAAGTTATTATTATAAAGGTATCTGGTGATAAAATGTGAAGCGCCTGATGGTGTTTGTATATTTCCTTGATATTAGATCATATTTTTGAGAGATATATCCTCATCTAATTTTCAAGTCTTTTTCTCTTTGTTTCAATATTTACGAGTGTACAGAATCCCACTTCACAGAGATACGATGTGGAAAACTGCAATAAAATATTAAGTGCTTTGAATCCTATATTGGGATATTCCTTCATAATTGTTATCCAAAATGAATTCAGACTCATTTCTGAATGCTTCAATCTTAACGTACGATCATTACGTATATCGATTAATTCTTCGGCTTCTGCAAGACTGAACTTATTTCTGATGATGTCTCTATAAAAAGATTTTGAATCCATTCGTACAAATCAACTTATATGTCAGGTAAATAATGGTTAATTTTTTCTTCTAATGACGTTAAATGACTGTAAATAAGTTTTTGCAAATTTGTATTGTTACATTTTCCTTTGGCAACTTGAATAAACATTTCTACATTATTTGCGTTTACTTTTATCTTCCGCATTTTAATTTTATCTTTAAAACCTTTAATTTTATCTACAGACTAGCAGACCCTGCCACGCGTTGTTGTGGCTCAAAATGTATCTATTATAAATTTATAACACTTTGCCCGTGGGGGGAAATTTTTCGAAAAATTTCTTCTTAGTGTACATTCTCTTGACGTACCCTATTAAAACGCAATAAAAAATGCAAAAACCCGCATCTAAAATAGTATAAATAGAAGCAGAGTTATTTACGGTAAGCCTTAATCCCATCCATCTCCCGGGGGGGATTTCGACATGTATATTATGTGAAAACACGTGCGTATTCGAATGCAGCGTTGTGTCAAAATTTCAAAGGAATCAGTAGAAACAAACGAACATTACATTTTTATTTATATAAATAGATAGATGATGATCCGCTTTAGTTCATTTTCACAGAAAAGCATAATGCCTCACAGAAAAGCAAACTTAGGGCGTCGTACTCGTAGCGCCATCTGTTGGACATAAAAGCCTTAACCCTAGATGATATCATTTAATTTATATGAATGTTTAACGGAATAATATACAGCCTATGTCCACCCTGAAGTTCCATTCTAAATATTGGTGAAAGAATTTTTGAAATCGGATGAGTAGTTTTGGAGATTACCTGCTGCAAACAAACTTACATACAAACATTACCTCTTTATAATATTAGTATAGATATTAAAATATTTTCATTTCTACCTTGCATGCTTGAGTTTAACTTGTTTGGGTGATCAAATATGTCTGTTAAATAAGCTAGTTTGGAACACCAAGAATCATTTTGTAATAATACACAAAATTCTGGTTTGTTTTCATGTTGAAAAAATATTAATATTTCTTCTTTAATACGCGACCTTTTGAAAGCCATCTCATTTCGGTATGAAGTGGGTTATTATGATGAGATTGAATCTCTTCACATAGTTTTGCAAATATATGCGATTTTAATGGTCTAGCTTTGATATAATTAACCATTTTAATGATTTCTTCTAACACTCTTTTGAGTTCAGAGCCTATTGTCATTGCTACCAATGATTCACGATGAATGAAGCAGTGAGTTGTTAGTGTTTTCGTTTCGCTTTTTAGCGTATGAAACAAATCCTTTTATAGTTCCAATCATTTAAGGGGCGCAAGATTTCCAAGATAGATCATTTGTATTAAAATATGTGTTCATGATATCAAAAACATTTTTTCCCGCCGTAGTTTTTTCGAATTCCTTGCAGCATAAAAATTCTTTCCAAAATTTCATCATCTTCAATAAATCGAGTGAAGGCAAGTAATTGTGCTTTACCACCGATATCAGTTGACTCATCCAACTGCAAACTAAATAATTTCGATTCGATTATTTTATTTATAACTGATTTTTAAATATCACTAATATGTCTACTCGTAGTGTCATTTGACGAAGGAATCATTTTTATTTTTTCTGCTTCAGCACCAAAAATTGTTCTCACAATTGCTGTATAGGCCGGGCAAATCAAAGTTTCGCCAATAGTATGAGGCTTCATTTCTTTCGCTATCATTTCTGCGACTAAATAACTGGCTTCTTGAACACGGTCAGCAATTGTATATTTTTTTTTACAAAACTTTTACTTTGTTTTTCTTGTAATTTTATCAGATCTTTGAAATATTCAAGAGGTTTCTAGACAAGTGATCATATTTTGTGGAGAAGTGTCGCAATAATTTACTGGGAACCATAGCTTCATTTGATAAAATCAAACTACACACAATACATTTTGGTCTGGGAATTAATTTATCACCACACCAGGTAAATGCCATTTTTAGGTAACTGTCTTGATATAAGCAAGTTTTTACATTCTTTTTTAATGCAACATTTTTACGAGAACTTACTGTTTCTGTTTCTTTTGTTTCAATAGTGCTTGTTTGTTGCTCAACATTAAAAATAGTCAAATCTTCACTAATAGCGCTCTCAATTTTTGATGATTTACTAGTGCTAATTGATTCCTTAGCTTTGCTACCAGTAACCACTTCTTGATCATTAGAATCTTCACGTTTTCTTTTTTTAATGAAAAAATTATTCATGATATTTAACGACATAATTAACTTCAATATTTTATTATAAAATTTAATTACAAGTTAATAATTTATTTTTTCTTGCTGTAAAGAAGAAAAAATATTTGTATATGATGCTTTTTCGTTATTGTCTGAACATATAACAATAATAAAAACAACTACTTACTGCATTCAACACATTTATATTACACCTCTACTCGTTACAGGAACAGAAGAACAGACAACTAGTAACTAGTTCGTTTTGTTTCTAGTATTTACGTGTCGCCAATTACAGAGTCACTGAGACAAGTGGCGACGTAACAAGATTAGTAGAAAAACCAATATTCATTTTTTATAATTGTTTTAATTATTTATTTAATTTAATATTTTAATTCAATTATTTTAAGTAATTTTAATTTAATTATTTAAAAATTTTGGGGCACCCTTGTGGCGTACTTGAGGCACCTGCTTTGAGAACCACTGCCCTATGTTGATTATTTTTTTTTTTTTTTACGTATTGAAGTAGGTTTGACTTGGGACTAGGGTTGCCAGATGTCCCATAAATTTGGAACTGTCCCCATTTTTTAGGAAATGTTCTAGTATCCGGCAAATTCTGCCAGGATGCCCACTTATCCTGTATTTAGCAAAAGAGAAATGAGGAATTAAAATTTCAAAATCATTTTATACTAAACAAGTAAAACGGCAAAACCATATTTGGGACAAGATTATGTCTCGGAGACTCACTACTAAGCGGAATCACTTTGCTCAATCGGGTCTTGTTCTCATTTTCCAATTTTCTTTGCTATCGCTGGTTTTGAGCACGATTGTTCAAACTTTGCCGGCCACGACCACGAGGTCATCCATGATGCATTTTCGGTGAAATTAACGTATCCAGGTATACCCTATCCAGTATCAAAATTTCTTTTCATTGTGTGATGGCCCAGGTTAAATTTTTGTCGATGCATAACGAAAATTTCCCGTTTTTGAAAAAAATAATCGTGGCTATTGTTTTTTTTTTTAGAAATAGATAAATAAATAAAACAATAAAACTCACGCCAAAATTGTATAGCTTCTTGGTAAAAAGCACTGAGTTCAGCGTTTTTCTTATATCGCAAGTACTTTCGACGAGTATTATATCGTCGTCCTCAGGCAAAAAAAGAACAAATTTGAAAATTAGAACGTGCAGAGTGTTTCAAGTAGAAAACGGAAAAATTTTTCTTGTCAATTTCTAAATTATAGCGTTCGGTAATTCCAATGACCACAGATGCATGCAACGTCCCCACACTCGACTTGCCCGAAATATGGGTTACTTTATACCAGCGTTTAAACAGCAAAAAGCGCCAAGAGTCGCACAATTAGTACGATCGCACCTCAACACATGCGCTGCTAGTCGTGTGGATTCAAGATATTTCGAACGCCAGCAAAAGCCTGTTGCACGTGACCAACAGAATTACCGAGTGGCTATTGTATCATCCAAAGTTATTTTTTTATTTTGCACGAATAATATACAGTTTAACCCGATTATAACGTCATTGGATTTAACGACAACCCTAATATAACATCTTTAGTGTCATGGCATCTAAAATCTGTACGTGGCACGTCCTACCTTGTCCGTGATGTCCATGTTGACCTCAACCACATGTTCTGCTGGTAAAAATTAACTGAAGAAATGATCCAGTCAAATAATTTACTTAATTTGGATCGGCTACACGATATTTACAATAGTGTCGAGATATAATATAAATCCAAGATTGGCACGGCTGTCGAATTGAAAGGTTAAATAAATGAAGTAAAAAGATGTCTCTCCTTGTTAGAGTTTAGGAGCAAAGTGAGGTCAAATGGCGAAGGTCACGTGGTGGTGCCTTCTGCCCTACACGTCAAATTTTTATCAGTCCCACGGTTTTACTATACTAGATAATGTTAAAAAAACCCACTTGTAACGACATAAAACCGTTTTAACATCAGATTTGAAGCACTCCCAAATTTATAAAATTAGATTACAAATTTTATTTAACATAGAAGAAACTACCTGTTCAGTCCTAAGGTCAGAGTTCACTTCTTAGAATGACTGTGGATGGTATTCTCCCCACCTGACTTTGGTGCTGTT